GTCTCGGGGGAGAGTCACTCTCTAGAACCTGTGGGAGCTTGTCGGGTGCATGGGTGGATTCTTCTTCCATCAAGATTCCCACCCTGTCTATTAGCTTGTCAATTCTAGCCTCTTGATTTTGCATGCATTTGGTCAAGCCAGCGATTGCTTTCGTCAAGTTTGCCAACTGCTCCTCCATAGATGAAGTGTTTGTACCATGGCTTGCATGATTGTCGTGGACGATGGAGAGTAGCATGGATTTTCACACAGATTTATCCTTGATTGGCTCACGCTATGTGGTGCAAGTGGGGAGGATCCATCACATGAAGCATCATCATCTTCCTTCACAGCAGAGCGCTTGGACCCGGAGAGGTCAAGCAGAGCAAGAGTTTTCTTGATCTTTTCAGCAACATCGCTTCCTCCTTCAGATGCGTTTGTAGAAGATCTTGCTCCTTTCGAGGATGAAGATCCGAAAACAGGGGTTGATGCGGACGGCACTTGGGGTGCTTGTTGTCCTAAAGAGCTTGCTTTTCTCCTCGTAACTGTTCCAAAGCTTCCAAAGGTAACATCGAGGATGCTTTCCACATCAGCATAGAACCTGGAGTTACCAGCCTTGGTGGATGTTGATCTGGAGTTGATTTTCTTCGAGCCATTTAAATGTTCTTGAACTTTGGTGATTGAAAAGTTGAGATGAGAGGTAGAGATTATCCCACTGGGCGTGCCAGAATTTGTTGGACAATAAATTTGCGTCAAGAAAATAAAATCAAGACCGAAAATATCGCAACAATCATAGTATTTTATTTTCAATATTTTAGTGTACAATCTCTATAAATCCTCTGATTCTTCTTTCCAATAGCAAATAAATTCATGGGCCTTTGAGCTTGATCTTGAATTTGAATTTGAATTTGATTTATCCGTCGCGAACACTTTGATTGTTGCCACGAATTGTATCATGAACAAGTAGCCTTGATCTTGAACGCCTTGTATTTGATTTGACTTCGTTCTTGATCTTGAATACTTGAATTGTTCTTCGTTCTTGAGCTTGAACTTGATTTGTTCTTCGTTCTTGAACTTGATTGTTTGAAGCTTGAAACTTGTGGAGGAATTTGCACCGTTTGATCCACGAGCTCTTTCTTGCTTCTTGTTATAACTTCTGGTGTCTTTTCTGAGTTATGAAGACCCCTATTTATAGTTGTGGAAGAGAGGAGTTGTTTTAAGAACAAACTCTTTCCGACCAATCAAATTGAAGTGTGACATGGCCGCATTTGATTGGCCAGGACATGTCACTTGCACACGTGGCGCGATTTCATTGACCTTTCCGTGTGACTGGGCATGCCTTGTCATTTTGACACGTGGCATGATCCTATTGGTTCTTCCGCTTGACTTGGCGCGCCACGTCATTTGACACGTGGCACCAAACTGGGCCTCTAGGAAGATTATATCCGGGCTTGATGAAGTGGGCTCATCACTTTAGCCAAAATAAATGGGCTAGCCCAATGGATTAAGACTTATTTATTTAACCCATATGTACTGGACTTATATAATTAATTCATTTATATATTAGCCCATAATATTTATTTGGATTAATATATCTTGAATTTAAAATATAGTCCAAATAACTTTATGGATTTAAATCCGATAAAATTTAAATGCTTACAGTAACCATTAAATGTATGATCCTAGAAAACTTTGTAACAAAAATTGATTGCGATAATAAAGAAACTTGTATGGTCATTAATAAGCTAAGCTAATTTGTATATAGGTCAAAGATAAAAAAATAAAATACACTCTTTTAACGAATGGCGAGATTCTATTTTTTTTTTATAAGAATAGCTAACAGCTATGCCGCGAGCTCTTGTATCGGCTAATCGGCATGACCTTCATGTACCCATTCTTTTCTACGTTCAAGTTTGCTTTATAAAACCTTATTCGTTTGTAGCATATATCTGCAATATTTAGAATTTGTTCTAATTAAAGGGATGATTTTAAATGTCTTTCTCTACAATAATTTTGATGGCAAATAGACGAGTATAAGACAAGTTTCATTTATAACTTTTTGTATCTTTTTTTCCTTTGCTAATTTAAACTCAATAATCTTTTAGTATGTCTTCGTATTGGTTTCTATATTTTTCAGTATCTAATTGTCCTATCGTCTTGTCACATATAAAGGCACCTGCAAAAACAATAACGCAATTTCAAGCAGAAGGGAAGAACAAGCTGTGAATTTTACTCGTTTGGATATATAAATTTGCTCAAGAACTACTTTAACTATTTCCCTAGTAGTATTAAGAAAAATATTTTCACCACCCGGTGTTTACAATAGTTTTTTTGTTGTTGATGGAAATACGGAATTATTATTAAAACTTAACTAGAACAGGGATAGGAGGCCCTGTTGGGCTCATTCATAGATGGTTCTACCATACTGCCTATATTAGTAGAGCCATTTACAAAAGGATTTCCAAATTCTACTAATTTGGAAATTACATCCGTAGATAAAGTCCTACTATAAGTGCCTCCAGTCTTGTATTTTTGGAGGATTTGCAAAATGGAGTAAGGAGGTTGTTCCATCAGGTGGGGGGGTGGGGGTGGAGCTAACTGGTTGTTTGTATCCATCATTTGCCAAAAAGTGCGCTACTTTGTTCCCTTCCCTGAATCTATGTCGGATCGACGGATTCTGCAATTTTCTCAGTAGTGACCTGCACTCAATAACCAAGTTAGTGTAAATAGAACAAGTATCATTATTAAGCAAGGAAATGACATTTGTTGCATCAGTCTCAATTTCAATGTCAACCAATTTTTTATCCCAGACTAGTTGAAGTCCAGTTTTGAGGGCTAAGAGTTCCATATATGTAGGGGTGTAGGCTATAGCAGAATTTTTATACCCCAAAACCCAGTCCCCTTGGCCATTCCTGAATACCCCTCCATAGCCTTCTTTCCTATATTTTCCTTTGAATGCCCCATAAATATTCAACTTAAGGGAGTGATTTGTTGGAGGTATCCATTTAATAGAGATGGTGATAGAAGGAGGAACATGGCTTGGAGAGTTTACAGTAGATGAACTCTTTGCATCGTATGAGGACTGTTTTCATGGGGAGCTGGTTGTACTTTTTGTTGAAGGAGTTGTTATTACGATTTAGCCATAGGGACCATATAGCAAAGGGGAAGAATATGTCCCATTGGTCTAAGTTGTTGTATAAATCCCTTAATGTAAGAAGCCAGTCGTTAGGGTACACTACTACAAATAAGATCTTTAGCGGCAATACAAAATGGATTTAGCGGCAATAATAATAGCCGCCAGATCTTTTACCGCCATTAGCCTTTTGCCGCTGAAACTGGGGTCGGCAAAGCCTTTAGCGGCTATTCTCGCAAAAGCTGGTAAACGGTATGTTTTATTGCCGCTAAAAGTTATTATCTTTAACGACAATTATTTGCGGCAATTATAATGGCTACTAAATCCAATCCAAAACGGCTAATTATACTTCTTTAGCGTCCATTATTATAGCCGCTACATTCAAAATAATTGCCGTTAAAGCAATTATTTGTGGCAATTATAATGGCTGCTAAATCCAATCCAAATGGCTAATTATACTTCTTTAACATCTATTTTTTATAGCCGCTAAATTAAAAATAATTGCCACCAAAAGTTTGCATCTGTAATGGCAATTATTTTGTGGCAATTAAAATGGCCATAGTATCCCTTCTGAAAACATCTTAGTTTGCCCTTTTAGCTTCCATTCTAATGGCTAATATGTTTAACTAAATTGCCACTAAACGTCAATATCTTTAACGACATTTTATTTTACATCAATTATAAATAGTTTAGCCACAATTAATGACAGTTACTATATTTGTACATAATATGACTCAAATAATAAAATATATTAATATTAATTCAAAAAAAACATAATGTATCTCATTAATCTTAACAAACAAAAGGAAGTACTAATCAAAAACATTAATATCACAGTAACTTAAAACATAAAAATATATTATTTAGACTAAATAGCTAATGTCATTATATAACTAATCCAAATGATGGTCTTCAAATGATTTCCGCAACTTTTCATCATTTTGAAATCTTTCACCCTCTACATTATCCAACATCAGACGGCATGACCTGAAATTATAAAATAATTGTATCAAAAGAATATCGAAAGAACAAAAATGTTCCAATAATCTATACAAACAAATTTTGTACTCCATCAAACATCTCTATCTCTCTTTCCATATTGTCCATAGTATTAAAGGAGCTACTTCCGTCCTCCCCTTCTCTTCCTTCTAATCATTTTCATCCTAGAAGCACCTTTCATACAGTCCCTGGCATCACTTATTCACTTCAAGTATACTCCAGACTATACAGTATATTATATACGTCTACAGATGCTAAAATCATGACAAGTCAACTCATTGATCAAATATTGCTAGAAAAATTAACCAAGAGTTGTATAGTTACAATGAAACTTCTAATACTTTCATTAGTAAAGAGGGAGGGAAAAGGGGGGAATTCAAGAAGAGTAGCTATTCCAGATAGTCTTTATGTCTTTGAATGAATAACTGCAAATTACTTTCTATTAAGTAACTGGAAAAACAATTGTCTCGTGTTACTACTCACTCCGCCAAGGAACAAAAACTGGTGAACACTTCCAAAAACAAGAAGACTAAGCAAACACAGTTCAGGTATCAAAGATTAGAGATTTTCTATGTTTCGCTCGCTAAAAATTTAGAAGGTATCATAGCTCTACAGTTGCTCGAAATCAATATGGTATCACTAATTTTTTGTGACAAAAAGACCTACTGTTGGCTTCCAGGTTTAAGACCAGGGAATACAATTCTCAATATATGTTTATCCTTTTATATTTAAAACTAATAATCTTCCAAAAGATCAATAGAACTCTTTGGACCAATGTTTTCTTAATAAAGGTGATATAGTAGTTATAATGCAATCACCGAACCTTATAGTTTTGCAAGTGCATTACTGGACTCTAGACATCAAGATCGAGGAATAATGGGAAGGGACTGGAATGGAAAAGGCAATAAAATACATGACAAGGAACTCAAAGGAAGCACAATGCCCTGCCTCTTACAAAATGGGTGGGTTCAATGGAAATAGCCCCAAAAACTCTCCAAGAGCTTCTTCAAGAAAAACATACAGCCCAAAAAATTCTCCAAGAGCTTCTCCAAGAAAAACAACCACAACTCTAAAACAACTCCTTTTAGATTCCAGGAACATGTCAAATTTTCTTGATTCTGAAAGAGAGGAATTACTCTCTCTTATTTCTTACTGTTCTTTCACTTACACTTTCACTGATCCACAAGAATCCCCTTCACAACAAGATTTAAAGAGGCTAAAACTCATTCAACTCCTTTCAATAATCAAGACTCTCATACAACCACTTGATGATCAAGTACTTTTACCCCTTTTCAAAATGTTGTCCACTAATCCTTTTAGACCACTCCCTCCACCAATTTACTCTGTTGCCTCAATATTACCCGACGACGATGATCTTGTCAGTAATCCTACACCATCTTGGCCACATTTGCAAATAGTTTATGACATTTTCCTTAAGATTGTCGCTAGAACAAGTGTTGAATCGCTCCGAATTTATATAGACCATTCTTTCCTTCTTAATCTCCTCACATTGTTCCAATCTGAAGACCAAAGGGAACGCGACAGCCTGAAGAATGTGTTCCACAGAATTTATTCAAAATTAACATTCTATAGACCGTTCATGAGAAAGGAAATGAATGATGCATTTTTGCACTATGTTTTTTAGACTGATCAAAGGCACCCCGGAATAGGAGAACTTCCTGAGATATGGGGCACAATTATCAATGGCTTTAGTGTTCCTTTGAAAGAAGAGCACAAACTTTTCTTAGTGAGAGTTCTTGTCCCTTTGCATAAGCCAAAAGGGATGCAAGTTTACCACAGGCAACTGGCCTATTGTGTAACTCAGTTTGTGCAGAAAGAGCCAGAGCTCGGTGGGGTTGTTATTAGAGGTATTTTGAGATACTGGCCAATAACAAATTACCAGAAGGAAGTTCTGCTTATTGGTGAATTGGAAGAACTTGTGGAAACTCTAGATCCTCAACAGTACAAAGAACTAGCACTACCTTTGTGCACCAAAATTACCATGTGTTTAAACAGTTGGAACTCACAGGTAAAACCAGTGCCTTTCATTTAGCTTCCAGAGTATTTGGATAACGATTATCAGTGTGTTTGGTACGCCGAAAGTCATATTTTTCCGTGGAAAATATTTTTCTGCAAAATGTTGTCCATGAAAAATGGTTACCTGTGTTCTGTTGGTGAATGAAAATATCTTGAGAAAATTACATATATTAAGGATCAACAATTTTATTAGTAAACCAGAGAGTGTTTTGATAAAATATTTGACCGTTAAAGATTATTAATGTCTAAGTGGAAGTTAAAAGATAAGATTTCTGTAAGAAATATAACTTCCACCCATAAGAGAGGGAATTCATATTCTCCATATTTATGATAGATATTTTTCAAAGGAAAACATTTTCTCTAAACCAAACACCCCAAACTGACTCTCTACAAAGTGTTTCACTCGTACTAAACACACCTTATGTAAGAAAAGATTTTGGAGACTACTATGGTTTTGATTTTAGGTCGCGGAACACGCATTGTATGTGTGGAACAATGGGCAATTCTGGAAGATGGCATCACAAGCAATGGAAGAGGTGTTCCCAGTTCTAGTTGAAAGGATGGAGAAGAATCTAGAGGGGCATTGGAGCAAAAATGTTCGACAATTGACAGGAAATGTGAAGGGAATGCTAGAAGCTCTAGCACCATTTCTCTATTCCAGGTGCCTTTTACAACTTGAAATCCAAGAAGCCGTGAAACGATAGAAGATATGAGAAGAACAGAAATTTAGAAAAAGTTAGAAAATGCAGCAAAGTAGTAAACAGAATATACTGTATATCTGTATTTCATATTCAGCAGACACAAAAGTGGCCTTGCTAGTGAGTGTTTCAACAGCACCACCATATTCTATCACTCACTACAATTGAATATCCTAGGAAATAACTTCAATCGTATATGAGTATTAGTCGTTCCAATCAAATGTTCATGCAGCTGCCATTGGCTAAAACATTTTTCCATATGGAGATAACTATATATACAATGTCTTAGATTTCACTGATGGGGCAATACTTCCTCAAGGTTACAAGTAGATTTTTTTCAATCGCGATGCAGAGTATAGAATGAGAGTGATGCTTCGGATGCCCCATTTTTCAGAGGCTATGATGCGATCATTATTTTGAATAGTGAGATGGGAATTCTATCTAATTTCAGAAAATAGATTTGGGGGGGGGAGGGGGATACAGTTCACCAGCACATGCAGACATTAAAACCAATGCAGCAATTCTTAACAAAATCCAATTGATCATTTACACTCAGAATCTTCAATAAAGCATCTTCGAATATAGTGTCACTTTGGCATTTTCGTTCGAATCATAACTATCAAATATTTTTCATATTTTCTATAGACGGGGAATTGAAGACATTATCGCGGGATAAAAAATGTTACAATAATTCCTTTCAAAGGTACGTATATGTAAACCCCCACCAATAAACCACAAAGTGCAGATTATTATTATTGCTTACCTCATTCGACCTCCCAACAGAGTGACAGACCATCTACTCCTATCCTCCAAAAGAAAGGTGAATAAACAAATTCTCAGACATGCTATGTAGACTTAAACCAACAAATGGAACCTTACAACTGTAAAGTTAAAAATAAGAAAAAATGCTCTTTAACCCGAGAAGAAATTATCAAACCCAATTACCCAAGAACTTAGGATCACCTCCTTTAATAGATTCAGGACAGACACAAAATAAAATACAATTGTAACATAGCACACGTGTACACTTAATATGGTCTTACTTGTAAGTTAGAAAGTGAGTTCACTAAGATGGTCTTACTTGTGTTAGGATCAGATTACATCGACCAGCTATGGGTTATCACTGGTGTAAACAATGCTACAATGGTGTGGGATCATAAAGAGTCATGCAGCAGTAAAGTTAAAATATAGTGACATGGCAATTTATCGAATGCATTCTTAGATTATTCAGAATGTCTTAACGATGCAACACAACTGGAATGAAGATACCAGCACTAGCACATGAAATTAACAATAATAATTGGAAAAAGAACTGCCATTAGAAAAGGTGAACTCAGAATCATTTCAAAGTTCCATCTTTCGTGTATCAACAGCATGGAACTCAAAGCCCTTGCAATGACCCAAACGTCATATGGCAGTACAAAGTGCAAGGCCAACTATGCGCAAAAGTGTAGGACATAGAACTAAAAACCTATCAAAATAGAAAAACTTAAATAGCACATAGCTAATATATTTAAATTTGTCTGCTACTTTCTTGACAAACTTAGTGGCAGTATTGATGCAATTAAACATCGTCTTGTTTAATGGAACAGCTTCCTTGACCCGTCTGTTTAGGTGATAAACCATTTTTGTTTTGAGGAAACTAAAACATCATGGCAGTATATACAGCAGTACATATGGCAGTATAGCAGTACACATGTAAAATGGACTCACATTTTACCTTATGGTATATACTTTGTGCTGTATGATTATTTATTGTACCTTCAATTGATCTTGGATAGAACTTAAAGTTGTAACCTCTCTAATTCTGTGTTTTCTTATTAGAAACTACAGTTTGCTATGTGTTTTGATCAACCTGCAGCAGGGGATGAGATGGACATACGGACTAATATTGGGAAGCAAGACACAACCATTTTGCTACTCTATGTTTATGAGTATGACTTTGTGTGCCAGCCACTTCTCATGTTGAGGCAACAAAGCTGTGCCCAGTATTGCTTTACGTTGCTACAAAATTGACAAGTTACACAGCAAAGTTCTATACTAAAACTCCCACAAGGGTGGTCTACAATCAGAATCATCAAGAAATGTTCTTGACTTCTACCATAACCGCTGATTTTCAGGGCCACACAAAGGAATGGGAAGGAGGGCAAGACAGATGTGTGGACATACACAATTGTTTTTTGACACAAATGTAAGTGAAATTTCAAAATGTATAGCATCTTTACTGAAGTAGGTCTCTAGAATTTTTGAAGCCTAAAAGTCCACCCTTCAATTACCTAAACATTTTCAGCATCTGCAGCATACTAAGTCTCAAGAGAAAGATAAGAACAACCAGATATGCAAGTAGACATTAAGTAAAAACCAAAAACCTTTCGAAACTAACAGGTTTATTTTGAAATGGAATAGAATCCATCTGCGGTGAAAAATGACATAAAATCTAGTGTAAGGTATTAGCAGAGACGTGACTTTGTGATAATATTGGACATACTTAAGGGAGTGGAGTATAAATAGATATTCCAACCACATGGCCTTCCCGAAACCATTGATGGAGTGAGGATAAATTAAGTGTGAAATCATAAACAACCCAACAATATTAGGGGAGGTGAAATAAGTAAAGAATTCATCCCATTTCCCTTTAGGTATTGAAGTTTTATCTTAATGTCCAACTTTCAGTAGTTTTTTTAACGTCAATTGCACTTCTCTTCTCCTATTTTTGCCATCATATCACGTCATTTCCAAGTAATCTTTTTGTAGTTTTGTACTCCACCCATGTATGAACTGAGGTAAATCCCTCTACCTAAAGTAGCAGCTCAAAAGGACAAACAGATATGATTCCTTTGGGACCAAGTACAAGAAAAATGAATGCAACTATGTTTTCACATAAGCATAATTGAAAACACTGAAGTTAACAAGAACAACTACGCCTCAGTCTCAAACAAGTTGGGATCGGCTATATGAATCCTTACTGACCCTGTTTTCGATTCATCTCAGGCCAACATTATACATAATTTTGAAGTAAACAGAGTATCATAAATATTACAATCTTGTCAGCATTTGAAGGTCATTCTTAAAATAACAAAGGGCATCCATGCTTATTAAAGGATCTGAAAATCTTTGTCCATGCTACATACATCGTTTTATACGGAACACGAATCCCATGTACAAGAACAATAACCTCGGCAACTATATGAGTTTCTATCCCAAAAATTGGTTTATAACATAGGAGAAATTTAGATATAAGAGATAAGCGGCCGAAACAAACTTCCTAAATCAGGATTTTCTACATCCAAATAATAACATGACTTTTACCAGATTAATGTACATAGAATCTATTGTAAATAAATCGACAAGAATCAATCCAAAACCTACTGTAAATCGATTGCAAGTGACTGATTTAACAGGGGAAAAAGAGAAGTTAACAGGGGAAGAAGATGGACGGGTACTACGGCAGGCTGTTGATGCAACAACGAGTTAGGAACTGATTTATTGTAAATCAATCGACCAGCATCAATACAAATTCTACTGTAAATCGATTGGAAGAAGAGAAGTTAATTTACTGTAAATCGATTGTAAATTGAAGAGAAGAGAATTTACCTGGGAAAAAGGTGGGCTGCCGTTGACGCACTCGCACTGCCGTTGACACACTGTAAATCGCACTGTCGTTGACGCAATAGCGAGTTAGGGTTTTTCGGCAGCAAAGTCGATTCTAGAGGGAAATAGATTCTACTGTAAATCGATTGTAAATCGAAGAGAAGATAGGCTGCCGTTGACACACTGTAAATCGCACTGTCGTTGACGCAGCAGTGAGTTAGGATTCAATGTTTTATTGTTTTTCGTTCAACTGGGGAGTGGGTTAGGTTTTTCGTTCTATTTTTTCTAATTGGGGAGGGAAACGATAAAAGGTATCAAAAAAATTGGAGGGAAAGATTTTCTCTCTTTCATGCGGAGGGATAGTTAAAATAATAAAAGATTAATTTCAATTAGTAATTTTTAGTGGCTATTATTTTTTATTGCCGGTAAAAGGATATCTTTTACTGGCTATTGGTTATATGCCGCTAATATTTAAGCTTAAAGAATTTATTAGCGACCATTGCCTTATTGCCGCTAAATAATTGCCGCCAAAGGCCTTTTTTGTAGTAGTGACAACATCCTCCAGCTTTGGTCGCCCAGATTTTGAAGTTGCATCACGATCACACTGTTGCACATTCGTCGTAATATCATCCAAAACAGATTCGTGCATCAGAACCTGCTGTGCACTCTTCCTCTCCTTATTCGTCACCCGTTCATACTTGTTAGAAAACTCAATGTTCTTTGGTGTTGTAACCTGCTCTTTCACACTTGGAGATCCTCTTTTATTGGGCGATCGATTTACCACTGTTTGCTTCTGCTCAATGTGCTGCACTTTACTTTTGTTTGGAGATCCTCTTTTGCTGGACACCATTGTCCAGTCTTCAGCCTTTTTCTCAGCAATGTTATCACCCTTTACACCTTCCTTCAAAGCATCAGTAGCTCCAGCCTGCACAATAGCTGGTTGTGTACTATGTTTCCTTGAAGCATCAAGCTGCCCAGGTCATTTTTCCTTTCCATCAGTGGCACAAGCAATAGTTTCCTCGATTTGTGAAGTTGTACCCAATGCTGTGTACATCCTTGACAAAATAGTAGTAGCTGTTATGTCCTTCAATCTTCTATCTTCTCCAGCATCTTTTTTCTACTGCAATTGTATCGCTTTGCTGAGCTGCTCAACACCAGACCCGTCCTTCTCAAAATGTTGCCCAGGTTCAATTGAAACTACAGCAACAGTAGCATCAGGAAAACCACTAATTAGTTCCTTTTCAGTTTTTTCTCCTTGTTCTACCACTGCTATCCCTTGTTGCTTATTACCAGAATACCAGTCATTACTCAGACTCAAAGAAACCTCTTGCAAATTTATACTATCACCTGAAGATACCACATCAACAGTTCGTTTTTGCCCAGCATTAGTCATAACCATATCCCCTTTAACCTCTTCGATCACAGTAGCTATTTGCTGACCTCGTGAAAACTGCACATCACCATCTCGTTTTTTCCCAGAATTGGCTACAACCAAATCCTATTTACCAGCTGCGCGCGCAGTAGCATCTTGCTGATTTTCACCAGCTTGCAACTGCAATAATTTCTGCTGCCCAATGCTTTGGCCTTGTACTGAAACTTCTACCACATGTTGGCCAGCCCTTTTTGCAATCAAAAATTCCCTAGCATCTCATTTTAATTGTTCAACACTCGTAACCTTGTCAATGCGATCATCTTCCTTAACCTCGTGTTGCATATCATTATTTCCTCTATTCTTTTTAATCAATGAACGAAAATCTTCACTAGCATGTCTTTGTCGATTGCACGCATTACAATATACTGGAAGATTATCAAACACAAACTCCTGTACATGCTCAATAACCTTACCAGATTGCTCGTCGATAAGTTGTAGCTTCATATTCTTGGGATGCTTATCAAGGAGATAAAAAATTACCTTTACCCTAGCTGTGCTAGGTCTTGTCCTAGCTTGTGTGGCTTTGTCTATAGCAATAGGTTTTCTCACAGCTCATGCGATTTACAGTAAAGGTTCCTTGGCAAACAGGTTCGTCGGCAAATCTGGAAATGACACCCATGCTACTGTTTTTGACGTCTCCACTTTAGGGTTGTAATCTTGAGTCCACGAGAATGTACAATGTTGAAGTAGTTGTCCCTTGTACTGTAAATAACCAACCTGCTTTGATAGGACTGCAACAAAATCCTCATAAGAATCACAACGAATCAACAGTTGTGGAAATGCGAGCAAGCCAATCAAGCAGCGACCCTCAATCCCAATCTATGTTAGAAATAATGTTCGAAGTTCTTGTAATTCTGGTGCACCATATGATACCTTCATCCCCACAGCTTGGTGCAGTCCTTCTTCAACTACATATTCTTCCTGTTCCTTTAAAGAAAACTGCATCGTAAGCTCACCATGAACATGTTCGACATGTTTAAGGATGGTTTTGGTTACTGCTTGGGATTTTGATACGATTAATGATGCGTATGTACTGGTTGTAAGGCTAGGGTTCGTCTCCCACAACTTGAAGCTGGGAGAGGGTTGCACATCCATGGCGGCTTCTACTACATCATGTCGCCCTAGAGAGAGAGAGGACAGAGGAGAGAGGAGAGAGGAGAGAGGAGAGAGGAGAGAGGAGAGAGGAGAGAGGAGAGAGCATTTTTGGAGAGAGCGGGGTTTTTTTGGAGGACAGGGTTTTGGGCTTAGTAGTGGATTTGGAGGTTATCAAAATATTTTTTTTCCATAAATCAAGGAAGGATCCACTATTTTTTTAAAAAATTACCTTTCATCTTTTAAGCAACTTCCACATAACAACTTTTCAAACCTTCACCCCCAAACTTAGGCTTTTAGCCTATGTTTAAACTTTTAATGTACTTGGGGAGGTAGGATGCCGAAAGATAGATCAATAAAGAACAACGGGTTAAAGCTTGTAACATTGTTGTCAAAGAAAGTATTCAAAAGCTCAAAATGGGTTGACTAGGAAAAATATGCAAGGGTAGAAAATTTAAGGCACAATAACGGTACAAGGAAGGCCTAACATCATTTTTCAAACTAAGTTAGTCTAGTTTTTTGCCGTGAAGCACATTCCGGGCAAGTTGTAGACTACAAATAATGAAGAGTACTTGGCTATATAATCATCCATGTGCGCCTCCATTGCCTTATGATGGCAGCCTCATGATATGGCTCATGATGTGGTTGATGGCAAAGTCTCACGAGGGCGAATGATCTCCTAGCCATTTGGACATTTCCCAAAAGCATAGGACATATAACAAACACTTACTTAGCTAGACCTTAACTTACAATTCCTATTGAGGCATGAACAACCTCATCTACTAGCAAGCATGTAAAATATAAGAACTTGAGAGAACTAGATACTCTATGATCATTACAGAGTTTATAACACACTCTGTGATGATATTGATATTACATATGATGATACTAATAAAATGATAATATAAGATGAAGTAGAAATTAAAATCTTGCCCCTGCTTCTTCAAGCTTGTGAGTTCTTCAACTTGTATCGCCTTGTCTTCCTCTTCAACAATCTTCAAAAACTCTTCAAACTTCATCACTTCTTCTTGGATCTATTAGACCTTGTGAAGGTTGTAGGGGTAGCCCCTTTTTGCTTTGCGACCCTCATCGGGAGTTGCCCAATGGCAGCCTCTTGTGTCACCTTACCATCCCAACTATGTTGCCTTTCATGTGCCTTCTTCTTGCTTTTGTTGGAGCCACTTCTCAAGTATCTAGGTGAGACTTGAGAGATCTCCTTCTCTAGCTATATTGGCAAAACTCGCACCTAGAAGTTCTTCGTCTTCCCCTTATTCATAGAAATCTTTCCCCATATCCACACCAAAAGCTTCAGTAGGATTAAATCCGGACACTAAAGCTCCTGCTCATGACTCTTGGCCACTATTCCAATAGACTTAGAGATAGTAGCTACTGCCTTCTTATCAAGAGACTTCAAAGTATCCATGTCATGATAAACAATAGCATGGAGGATATTTATAGGAGTTAAATTGTACCTTGCAATGGGGGAACTTGTGCTTGCCATCTTTCCTGAAAGTTAGGGCCTTAGCATTAGGATCATCTTTGATGCTAACTGCTGCAATTTGCCGCTGTCCGGATGGTACAAAGACTGGTGCATTTGGGCTTAAACCTTTCTTGATTTGCACTCTTTGAGAAGAGCTAGAAACCGAATCCTTGTGCACCTCCACTGCCCTCTCATTTGAGGTATATGAACCATGATCTGTCTCCTCATCGGAATCACCCAAGTTGTTATCAAAATCATCATCTTCCTCCTCTTCACATTGATCAACCCATGTTTTGCGAGTACATAAGAATTCACTTGTCACAGCTTGTAGCTTCTTAAAAATAGTCATTTTATTTGTTGAATTTGCTTGAGATATTGCTGCCATACTTTTCTCTACTTGTTGGTTATTTCCAGTAGATAGAAGTTGCTGCCCAGAATCGCCATCTCTCTCACCAATCGACTCCAACTGACACGGAACCTCATGAACGGAGGTATTCAAAGTAACCAATGGAATATTGATCTTTGGAGTAGTATGCANCACAAGCTTGAAGAAGCAGGGGCAAGATTTTAATTTCTACTTCATGTTGTATTATCATTTTATTAGTATCATCATATGTAATATCAATATCATCACAGAGTGTGTTATAAACTCCGTGATGATCATAGAGTATCTAGTTCTCTCAAGTTCTTATATTTTACATGCTTGCTAGTAGATGAGGTTGTTCATGCCTCAATAGGAATTGTAAGTTAAGGTCTAGCTAAGTAAGTGTTTGTTATGGCTAGGAGATCATTCGCCCTCGTGAGACTTTGCCATCAGCCACATCATGAGCCATATCATGAGGCTGCCATCATAAGGCAATGGAGGCGCACATGGATGATT